TTTTGAGTCCCATGTAATTGGGGGTGAGTCTATTGCCATATACCGGGCACAATTCCAGACTCCGTGCTACTACTGAGATTTTTTTAAAAACCCAGTAATATTTGCCCGACCCGGGAATCGAACCCGAGACCCCTTGCCTGGCAGTCGCACTTGCGACCACTCGGCCAACGAGGCAGTCTTAAATATCAGCCTTAAATATTACAAGGATTAATAATTTTATTTACACCTAACAACCACAGCATTACGTGCCAATAGTTGTTTAACTCGTCGAGTACCGGTTTTGTAGACACAATTATAGAACAATAGGTTGCGGTCACCGGTGACCGCTTGGTGTTTGACAGTTTAAATATGATAAGTTATATTCATTATAAAAGGTCTAACTAGTTGGACAAACTTACAACGGGTCTGCAACTAAGTAACCCCATTTTGATTTAAGTCTGATAGAGTACGCTGACAACGATTTATCAAACCATTTGACATTAAAAAAGTAAACTGTGACATCAGATTGATATGGGCAATTTCGTTTGTTAGTGTCACAGCATTCCAATTAGCAGTGTTATCTAAATAAGTAGTTAAATATCAGTGTTTATTGTGCTAAGTAGCTTGTGGTTGAGGTGTCGCGGCGCTAGTGTCGCTTTAAGTCCCCCGTGTTATGCAAATTAACAGCCTCATATACCTTCACCTACATTTGCGTCTCAAGCAGGTAATTAATAAACGTGCTCCTCTGATTACGTTAGCCACCAGTCAATTAGCAGACACTCCAACCAATTGCTTCGAGTCAATGGCTTTGTTTCAATTATTCCATTTTACTTTGAATATTTACAAAGTTATTGTCAATTAATTTGTAAAGAAATTCTTTGAAGAAAAATACTTAAGTAGTGTAATAGTACTCACCCGTTAATGACATTGTATCCAATTTACAATGAAATAATTGGTTAAGATTTTGTTTATTCTATGAAAATCATTAATGATCATTCAAGAAAATTATAGTTTGTATCGAACATCGAAGGCCGCCATCGTTATATGTGCTAATGAAATTCTAATGTAAGTTTATAATACAATAATTATAATTCTCAAGTAGATACTATTAATATTCTGCACGCATCAATACTAATGAATACATAATGTTCAAAGTGTTGTTAAATATGTTACTCTAGACCTAGATTAGCACAAAAGTAGTCCAAATAATGGATGTAAGTGAGACGCCGAGTCCTTGAGTGACCTCTAGGAGACGCGTGGGAGGTACGGCGCCTCGTTGTTTATCTAACTTCTTAAATGAAATTATTTCTTTTAACCTCACAAGAAATCAGAAAAGATCAGAGGCACTGGTACTACTTCTTGAGTAATTCATACCCCTTTGTTCAAAGGGGTATGAATAGGAAATTCCTTCTTTTTTTTATAGTATTGCATTAAAATTTGATGATTTATTAAATAAACATAATATATGTATGTTAGAGTAATTAGTTTTTTCAGAAAATACCAAATAAATTGATAATAATTTGTTGCCTGAGACACAAATGCGAACTATTTTAGAATAAACTTGATAACCATAAATAGTTTACGTACATTTACAGAGATTCAACTTTAAACGATAAACGTATTCCGTGCCGACTTTATTACAAACTATTAAAGGAAAATATTTCCGCCGAACGTGATCATTGAATAAATGTTGCTTTGCAAAATTTGTAAAGATTTTTTGCCAACAAGTCTTTTAAGATCATTCACAGACACTCCTAATATACATAGTATCTTTTACAACTATGAAATGACTTTTCGTAATAGTGGTCTGCACGGAAACGATAACTTCAAATACTGTCGGAAATGTATCGCACATAGAAAATTCTATCCTATTTTCAGTAATAATTAGGTAATGCAACTGAAAATACAATGCAAGTATACTACAGATTATAATATTACTTATTAGTAAAATACACTGTATTCGCTACCACTATGTGTGAGTCCCACAATGTTTTATGTTGGCTTTAAAGAACCAATCGTAATAAGGTACAACAAATACATCAGAATTTTCTCATTTTTGTTTGAACTCAACATAAAACCAAATTAATAACTATACGATAAAAACTTTACCACAAAACAAAGTCTGGCTCGAACACATGTATGTAAAGTCAAACATTGTGACCAATATCGATAGTTCCAATCACAAACTAAAATAAAAACGTCCACAAAACAAACTGTATGTTGTCAAGTCATAGTAGATCCACATATACAAGTATTATGTTGTTATATGTATGACGATCTATGACGTCCGTATGACGTTCATCAAATTTTTGCCCACAATACTGTCCAGTGATTTGCTATGGTGAAAAATTGATTTCAATTGATTTTAGGTAGTGTGGTAGAAATATTTGGTTTGTTGCTTTTTGTTTTGCAAAGTAAAAAGATACACTGTATAAAGTATTTTCAAATACGCTTCGGTCGTTTGGTGTTGGTTTTGAGCCGGACAACGTAAACGTTAGCTAACTTTTTCGAAGTTCTTTTTGAAACAATTTTTTCCGTGGCAGCATAGCATTTTTATTCCCAATGTTACTTCGGTAAACCAAATACGTGAAAATATGCGTTATTGTTATGCTCCGATTTTAATTTCCTTTAAAACTGTGTATTTATAATAAATATCTTCGAAATATCAAAAAGGAGGCTGTAACCATAAAGTTCCTAAGCTAGTATCCTGGCAAGATGCCGTAATAATCGGGTTCAATGGTGCTAAAGCTGCCAGGTCTAACAAACCTGTGCGAGGCCTTGCCATCCTTAAGAACTAAGAATAACTTTGGTTTGCAGCCAAATTCTTGCTTCTGTCCTTTCTTACAATTTGATATGTTTCAAAAATGTGTGTCTTAGATATACATATATGAATTTAATTCAGTCGTAAACTTTTAAATATTCCGTAATTGTGTAAACATAGTTGTAAATACTACGTTTAAATGTACAACCACAAAGTTGTAAACCGAGTTGTAAAAACATTCGTTTCTCATATTTCGCTGATTCGTCAATTCTTCTTCTGTTCGTCCCCGCTATTTTCACCGAAAATGACTATAACCAAAACTCATGTTCTTTTCAACTCTTAACTATCAGCCATCGTTATATACGTCTCTCGTTTTTAATCTATTACTAGAAGACCCGGCGCACTTCGTACCACGTAAAAAAATGTTTACCCACCTTTTATACATTCCCTGAACTTCGACAAACATTTCAAGACCAAAATTAGCCAAATCGGTTCAGTTATTCTCGAGTTTTAGCGAGACTAACAATCGGAACTTCATTATAGATGGCTTTTCATTTGTCAGCCTCCATCTTGGAATATTCAAGATTCAAAATTGTAATACTCTTAAAAAAGAAAGAAAAGGCACCTCTCTACGTCACGTATCCATGCAAGGTCAATTATTTCACCAGTTATGAATAATTAAAAACCCTTTGCAAACAATTGTATGACATTAAACACCGTTTCTGTTTTATAAATATTCATTATTCAAGAAAGATTGTTTTAGCACGTATTTTATTCATGTCGAGCGGGTAAAGGATTCCCCACCTTTTTATCTCCTTCGAAGGCAAATATTTATTCCTTTGATGACAGCTAAAATTACATAGTAAACTTTGTAACTAGATTGAAGCATAATTTATCTACACTTAACTTCATATATACATTTAAACCGATTATGCATTATAATTCTTGATTTTCATTTTACCGAATATTTCTTTATTACTCAGAGTAATTGAAAAATAAATTAAACCCAAAAGATATAAGACAATTATTCTAAAGAAGGAAGCATAAATTATACTGAATTTCCTTTTTAATTTTTACATCATAACTTACCAAAAGCAATTGCGTACGACATACGTAAGAAAAAATACTTGAAAATAAACTCCCGCAGGCAGGCTAAGAAATAAATGAAAATTGCTTCCTGAAGACAATGGCGGGAAATGGGGACACACGTGCTTCGCAGCCTTAAAACTCATGCTTGTGCATTCAAACGAGTTGTTTTATCAAAGCCTCTATAATATAAAATATAAGCTTATAAAACCGTAAAGGAAACTTGTGTGAAAATACCAATGAAAAACGAACTTATTAAATACAGTCTGAAAACGTTGCGACAATATTTATCTAAACCAGACATCTACATGTAATTATAAGTCGAATCTGAAATTCAAATCTATTTTTAAACAAAGTACAAACTTCAGTGAAAGCTTTCAAATAATTATGATTCAAATTGTATCACAGAAGCTGAAAAGTAAATCCAGTAAAAATAATTATTATTCACTAACTTGAAAAACACGGAGCAAATAATGTTCAAATATACCTATCAAATGAGGACATATTTTTAAACTAAAGTTTGCGAGTTTGTGTTGAAGAAATTTGTATTGTATATCATAAAAATTATGATTCAAATTAGCAGTTTGTAACAACATCAAACATGATTTCAATGAGGGTAACAATTACCTAACTGAATTAGCTGTAGGAAAATACACGTCTCGACCAAGTCTAATAAAAAAAATGGTTTGTGTACCAGTACCATATCATTTAAAGCGACTGTTTTTCCAAGAAATTGACTCACATTTTTGGCTGTAGTGTCGCACTACCCGCGTGACGTCACGTCAGCTACGTCACACCCCACCCTTAATCCATTTAATAACCTAATTCATTCAATATGTATAAGCACTATAGGGTGAATTGCCCAAGCAAAAAAATACACGGCAAACCTGAGAACGGTAGTGCAATGTGCTGATTATTAATTTTATATATTTTTTCTCAACAACGTAAGTATTTCTCTACCTTGGCAAAAAAAATCATTGGTATCTACCCTCTAATATACCCAAAAAAAAAATTACAAAGTGTTATTTTATCATCACGGTGACCTGTCCTGAACCCAATTCCGCTCATAACATACCTTCTCCTGCAAATACATTCGTAATATGGATTTAAATTGATTTTGTTATCATTAAATTATAATATATTCGATCAAATAAAACAATTTTTGTTTGTTTATCTTCTTTCTCATGGATTTGACAGGCAGTCAACTTTTGTCTGGAAAAAAGTTATCATTTCAGAGGACAGTAAGTTTTAGTAGAATAGCCACATCAACATTGCGTTGTTACGCCCCTTTCACCTTTTCTCACTCCGGATCAGTCCGGCTTAAGCTCTCGGCGCGAACGCACCGGTCCCAACGTCTTGCGGTTTCCCGCCAAAAAAGTAAGTTTATCATTTCAGTAATATGGGGACAAAAATAGTTTCATTTCGGTGGCTGTTATAACTCGTGCTAGATTTGTTTAATTTGTTTCAAAATTGTGTATTAAATTCGCAGTAAGTACTGTTTTGTTTGAGTAGTGTTCATATTTTTTAAATAATTTTTTTTCGGAGTTAAATGTAGAACTAACCTCTATTTTATCATCTCAGTGTTATCATTTCAGTGGATTCGGTGGACTGTTATACCAATTACAGTCCACCGGAATTAAAAGTATCTCCGAAATGATAAAAACATAAAGTTTTAGAGATCCTGGTGTCAAATACAAAGTCATAGTTTTGTAATGTACCTACTTTTACCTAGAGTGTCGATTAGATTATTTAGGTGTATTTGTTGTGTAATATTTGTGCTTAAGATATATAATATATACATATATCTATGTAGTTAGTACATGTTTACTATACTTTAGATACACATTTGTTCGGCTCAACGAAAATGTGATGAGTGTGTGGGTCACCACAGTGTAGATTATTATACCTACTAATTGTCAACAAAATAATTATTTCGAGGGTTTACCTTCAATATAAGTCACTTACCTTTATTTTTATATCATTTATTACGAGTAAATAACAATAATAAATAATATTTGATATAATTACAAAATTTCTTAATTTTACAAGATATAACAAATAAGTTAAAGAGCATTTAAACGTTATATGAAAAAAAAAGAGATATACCTATGTGATGAGAAATTGCCTGTGAGAGTGTTTGTCTGAGTCAATGCAAGAGAGCTAGTGTGTGAGCGCGTGGTGTATCTGAAGGTATAGTATTTTATAGGATCATAGTATAGTGTGTATGAATGTATGTCTGTGGATATGAGAAAGAAGAAAATTGAAAAGCGTGTATTTTGATTTTAGGATGCCGCGGCCTAAGCAACAGACTAGAGAAGAAAGGTTGGAAAAAAGGAGGTTGTATGAAAGAAGAAGAAAAGAGAGAATTAAGAGCAATGAAGTCTCACGCGAAGAGTTTTTGAGAAAAGACAGAGAAAGGTATGCCAGAAAAAAAGCAGCGGGATTAATTGTTTCAAGGCATCTAATGACCCCTAAAAAATTAAGAATTCTAAGAAGAAAAAACAAAATAAGTGCTGCTGCTTATTACCAAAGAAAAAAAAATAGAGCAGCTCCAGCTCCTATAGCGGCTCGTGCTAACCCTCTGGATGAGACAATTGGGGATCAAAGTGATGGTCCTGGACTAAGCACTTCCTGTCACAGTTCCTTCTTGCCTACTTTACGGCGCAGCTTACGATTGAACAGCAATAGTATTAGTACGAATATCCAAATCCAACGTTCTAATACTACAGAAGCTAGAAGCTTTCATCGGGTATACACAAGCAGTCCACGACAAACCCTGCTATCAACGCATCAAAATTTTGTAAATTTTGACTATAGCAATCCTGGTCCAAGCACTTCTCAAGGGAATCCATCTTCGGCTCGGCGCTGCTTGCCGATGAATAGCGATAGTACAATTGGTTCCAATATTCAACATCATATTGATGACAATGTAGTAACTGGCACTCATTGTGTACAACCAAGTGGCGTACAACGGTTATTGTAACCTCAAAGAATGATATATGTAATAATACTAACTGTAATATCTGTATATTAATGATGATATTAAAAAAACTGTGTACTGTCCTGTCTCAGTGTTTATCTAAAATTTGTGGAAATCAAACCTAACAAAGTACGGAACCCTGGCTGGGGGCACGGTTGTTCTTAGCTGTAACATTTCGGTGGATTTATCATTTCGGTGGTAATTTTTATCATTTCGGTGGACACTTTTAATTTCAGTGGACTCTTAAAACTTTATCCTTAAATATTTATGTAAGTTTTGATAATATTTGATGTCCACTCACGCACAATGTTATAAAATAGACTAAAGTATTATTTGTCACTAAAAATATATAGATTGCATTGAAATAAAAAAATCCCACCGAAATGATACATAAAAATCTCTTGTTGAAATTCACCCTATAACTAAGTATTTCTATATTTTATGTACCTCTTACTTGTATCCTCTATTTTACATAGAGACACTCAGCGTTATACCAAAAAATGTGACCAATATAAAAATAAAAATGAAAGAAACTTAAAAGACTTCTATTTACATGTGAACAGTAACTTTAGTTCTGTAAGCCGGAGGTAGTAAAGAAAATAAAGTTTTATAAAATAGGCTATACAAGTTCTTTTTCTTACCAGTCGTTTATTTTTATCATAATCTTCTCAAATAAGCCATAGACCGCTGCTGGTATTAGTCAGATAGAAAAATATGTTAAACTTCAATAATTGAATAGAAAATTGTAGTTAAAAACAGCTAAAGATCGTTCAAAATTAATGATCTCATTTGCATAACATATGTATTTTAAATATTTTTTGGTTAACGTATTCAATATACGTGCTTTAGTTATCCGACTAAAATAAATAAACAAATCCATTGAAAACTACTTTTCAAAAGGATAGAAAACAAAGTATGTTTATAAATAATAAAATATAAAGAAGGACCCATAAAAATATTAAAATTCCAAAAAAAATATGTACAATTGTTCCCCACGAAATGTCCGGCAACCGGTTATAGCCGGTTTATTTCACTTTTTATGTCACGGAATCATGATTTATGGCCCATAACAAATAGAACATAAAATTTCGGTTAACACTCGTATTTACTCTTGAATTCAGAATTTTCTTTGAATATGTCGCTGATCCCTTGTCAGGTAGCGTCTCTCTTGAGATGCTTTCAAGTAGATACTATTAATCAAACACAATTAAATTAGCGTAGTCATAGGCATTCAATGTATACAATTCAAAATATAAGCAATTTATTGTGCTGATAATTTGTGCTCGTTCATTGTTCGAGGCATCGCGGAGCGCCTGGTGGGCATAACAATTGATTGTAGGGCTGACCTATTTCTACATCTTTTGAAGATTCCACTAGGGCAGGGGTGGAATCTCAAAAACTTCACGATTAGCGGTTATGTTAGTGGTTTCGCAGGTTCTATGTCTATGTCATGCTAAATGTACTAGTGTAGTAGTGTTTAATTTCGTCGCGGGGAACCTAACGGGTTAACGGGGCTCCGGCTCGACGTGCAGGAGAAGGAACGGGGTGGTTTTTAGTCAGTAAGAGTCTGACACTCCGTCCCGCCTCACCCAGGCGGGAGCAGTCATTCGATGATGAAAATAAAGTGTTTAATTTCATAAATTCAGGAGCAAAACAGAACCCGAGAAAAAATACTAATCGTATATTATTCTAGGAACTGATATCTATATATTGTATTAGTCTTTTCTCCTCTTCAATAAATACTCTAATCGTCAGTTCAGTATCCACTTGTGAGTGTGGCTAAACACACGTAAGTACTCCAACTGCTTACTTACGTTCATGTAAGGCTGATTAGGAGAACTTAATCCATCTTAAGTAGGGTTTTGAGATTGGTTACCTAATCAACCGAGCAATAATTACTCAATACATAGTCTCACACTAGTAATTATGTACGGGTCTCTGTAACTGAATAAATGAATAGCGGTTTGACACGTTGCGTTGCTCAGTTTTGGTAGTTGAAATGTTTGTCACTTATTAAGGCGTGAGCGAATCTAATGCCTGTTTTCATCAACCTATCCTACGTGTTAGGGAATCCCTAAGCTAAGGTGATATTAGATATTTAGTAATATTTTAGTTTTCACCTATACGTGACACCTAACAGTACAAGTAAAGGGTTAGCTGAGGTGCTAAAGCAACTGTCAATTAAGAAATTGTTTAAAGGTGGTTGGTAAAAACTGTCTAAGTCTTAAGTAGGTAAGCATACTTTATTTTTGGTAGTCTGACTGCAATTCCTAGGCCACTTACCATTAGTGTATGGATTATAACAAGCTGTTTAAGGTTTGCTAACTATAGCGAAGTCAAAGGAGGAGATGTTTGTTCAGTAGCGGACGTCAACTACCTTATGACATGATGACGATGATTGTAACCTTCAGAATTTACTTCTGATTAATTTTTCATTCGCTAAGTGATAATTGTTTACGAAAACCTGCACTTATATTATTTTTGTATAGACGTGTTCGTAAATATGTATGGAAGAAATAGAACGAATAAGAAACGAGCCTATTGTCACACACTGGGCATGATTCCAAACTCCATGTTATGACTAAGTATTTCAAAATTGAATAATACCCTTCTCGCCTAATAGATGAATCTAGAATTTTGTGGCTAAACATTAAATTCAATTTTATTTAGAAACACTTTAAACTAAATCAAAAACAAATTTAAAAATACTGTTTAGTAATTGGTAATTAACTTTTAAAATTTTTCTTTTGACTTCAATTACAAAACGAACACTCAAAGCAAAGTTTTAAAAAGTGAAATTCTTTAGCAGTAAACTTAAAATAACGAAAAACCGAGTTTACACTCTCCTATAAATTAGGCATCTGTCAGCAACATCTCGTAGGACTTAGAAAAGCTTTTTTAAAGTAATTCGTAAAATGGATTCTGTCTGTAAGAAAAATACTATTATCACAATAACCTACAGTTGAGTGAAACGTAGTAGTGTTTTCGAAACGTTATACGCACTCCAATAACAAATTATCAATCAAAGTTGAAAACAAACGCGGGCGTGGGAGTTGTGGGGCGGGTGAGGTCGGAGGTGCGGGGGCGGCGGAGGCGGCTGATAGGCGCCAGACTGGCTGGCGCGGCGACTGCACGCGGGTGCATCCTGCGCAGGTGCTCGCCGCGCCCCCGCGCCCTCGCGCCCCTGCCAACCTCTCGCAGCCGCCGAACTTCGACATGAAATCGTGACACATTAAAATAACTAACGCACAGATTGCTTACCGACCCAAACTTACGATATTTTTATATTAAAAAAAAATTATCTCGCTCCATAGAACCTCGGATTTAAACCCTAACTGGTAGAAAGTGGGTGGGGCTGGTGACATTATAAACAAACCTCTGCCTACTTCTTCAGGAAATGTAAAACCATTTCAAGTTTCTCTTAATATCAAACGATGGTCATCAATCAATTCGATTTTTGTCGACTCACAGTCAACCAGAGGACCTCTGAAGTTGTATTTATATGTTGAATGAAACTTTATTTATATAAATATTCTACGCTTGAAATAGTTACGTAATACTTAAAGCATGAGTTTGCCCACGCGTATTAATAAAATGAATCAGTTAATAAAACCGCTCAATGTATTGCATTAAAAGTTAACTAAATTAAGTATAATAAAAAATGTACCCGTATATTGTGCCGATAGAGTTCCATTTTGACCAATTGATATTACGCCAGATGACAATAACAAAAGAATGTTTAGAAAGGAGTTACCTTTCTAAACATTCTTTTGTATATAATATGTAATCTACTAGTCAAGAAAAAGTAAAAATCATAGTTAATAGTAGGTAGATATGAAACCAAATAGTCAAATTCCTACAAACACCTTTAAATACAATTTCCGAAACTTTTCAAATACATAAAAACTATTTATAATGCCAATAATACCCATAAAAAGAACACTTTAAGTTTTTCGACGTCAGTAAGTCCTCAGGTAAACCCATAATACAAGGAACAAGTTTATTTTCTGGGGCCGCTTAGCTTCGTGAACGTTGTAAAGTCAGCGATCAAGTAAACAACATAATAATTCTTGGAAGAAAACGTCAACAAGTACGTGTACGTGCGTAGGTACGACCTGTGCTTAGATCATGTTTCAATCTGTTTGTCACAAACTTGCATATGTAGGTATAGTATTGGAAACAGTGTATGTATGTGGGTATGTCTACGGACTACTTGGACGTTTGAACTTGACTTCGTTTTTTTTTTAGTTTAAGAAAAACATTTATATTTCAGTATTCCTCCTGTTAATAAATTATTAAACTGACATGATCTGATGAATGTCCATAATTAGCAGATTGAACATCACAGTTTGAAATTTTTAGGTGTATCAGAGAGTCTATTGTCTATTATGTCAAATGTGTATATTATCTTACTCGGCAGACTTTAGGTGACACATATACGACTAATTTAATATATACTGCTGGTAATACCAAATATCTGCAACTGTCCACCGTCCTACCGCCACTCCAAGAATACTGCCTCAGTGTAGAACCAGCTATTTTCTTTTCTTAGAAGTTTCTTACCTTAATTCAATTCATCGACCCGTCTGCTTGGACCTAGTCTCAAGTTTAAATCAAATTGAATCTTCCCCAAGTAAACCTATGCACAGTAGTGAAGACGTCTTTAAAATACGATCCGACTCTTATAAAATCAGTCTGTACCTTTATCTCACATTTATTTATAGCTATAGGAAAGAGTTTAGCAATCTTTTTCATTATTTCAAGAGATGAATTGCAACCCCGTGGCACACTCACTTTTCACTAATTATGTAAAAGCAGGCGACAATATTGTCATACACCTAGCACAAAGCAACCAAAAATACAGAATACACACATACAATAGTTTTATTATTGTAATAAATATTTAAGTGTGGAAGAGCCATGCTTCGGTATGAATGGGCCAGCTCGACGAGAGTGACACGGTCACAGAAAACCGACATAAAATTCACGACACTTGCGTTGTGTTCCGTCGAATGAGTGAGGTTATCGTAGACCTAATTACCCCACTCCCCAATCTCCCCAATCCTCGAATCGTCAAATTCTTAAT